AACTTTGTTGATATATTCAATTAATTTTAACTTATATTCCCTCATGGGTGATCACCCAGCAGACACATAGTTTCTCTTGTACCTGGATCTTTCTCGTTCGGCGTAGAATGAACTATTAGTTTTCCTGGTAAAACGGAAGCGTCCATTAAGGATTTCTGACGAACAAAAGCTTAGAATGCTAGACTGAGACACTCACTGCGTTTTTCTTTTCATTCCATACTTGAATTTAGTGCTTACTTTTACTTTGAAACTCCTTATGGTATAGTTTTACATTTACTGTAAAGCCATCATAACTTTGACAAGCTTTTTTCTTTTTCTAACAGACAGTTATGTTATAATTAACAAATGGTAAACACCACAGTGTACACTATTGAGTTATGGATGCACGCGGGAGGTTGCTAAGCACGAAAGAAGCGTAAGAGTCGCTCGAGGCGATAGCCGAGAGCGACTCTCATCATCATCATCATCATCATCATGTTTATTTGTTCAAGCAGGTTGAATTGATTGGCAACTGTATAAGCTGATGTGGACCTGCTGTTTTCCCACCCAACCCACCTCAGGGAAGGACATCCAGCACACAGTAATCTCGTGCGTGGGAAATTAACGTCTTTTACCTCTTACCCTTTAAGAGACGGGACCTCCGGCTTTACGTCCTATCCGAGAAGACGAAACAATGTGAGTGAAGTGTCTTGCTTAAGGACACAACGTTAAGTCCCAGCCAGAACTTGAACCCGGGCCGTTTAACCCAGAGTCCAGCGCACTGACCACTGGACTACTCACGCCTCACTCTAGCTTCTTGAGTGCTTAGCAAACCTCCCAAGTGCATCCATAACTCAATAGTGTACGCTGTGGTGTTTACCATTTGTTTTATAACATAACATTGATACAATCATTGTAGCTAAAGAGTTCCCTTTCATTTAACAAATCCTACGTGACCAGAAAAGACAAGCGCGCGCGGAAAAATAGTCTTTGCATTTGCTCACGTCAGCAGCGTACATCCATGGAAAAATGGGGGACGCTAAATTGACCAATCAGAGCACGCGCTTTACTTTGGTTAAGTTATAACGATATTTTGATGAACAAAAGAAAACTTTTTTGAATGTTGTGAAAATTAAAAGTACTTTGACGTGATAAATCAGGAATCTAAAGAATTAAACAAGGGCTTCTTTTCACAGATTAGACTGCTCCTGCCACGAACACATCAGCTTTAAAAAAAGCATCTCCAATGAACTGGCTGAAGTTTATCTTGAAATGAAAAGTTTGCAACTCCAGAACAAAGTTTCACCGATACTGGTTCGGAGGATAGGAGAAGTAGTAAAGCGTCTTGATAACACACAACAACTATCCACTGAAGCAGGCGAGAATGTCAGAGGTGATACTAAGTTACCTTTGGATGTGTGTCCAGAAGTTTACAAAGGAACAAATTATGGGTACCCACTGTATGAGAAAGGTTGGATCATGAACAACTGTACCAATGTTAAACCTCTTCGTTCTGTTTTAAGTGTGCTGTTTAACACTGTTGCGTATCCCAAACAAGATGAGGGTCACATTAAAACGGTTTTAAAAGGCATATCAGACACCTACCAAACAGTTCAGGTTTATTTGGCAACGAGTAGTAACAATGTAAGAGAAGCTGTCGAAAAGTATGAAAATGTTGACGTTGTCTGGATTGATAAAGCACACGTAGTTAAAGGGTGGAACACACTGGCAGGCAAAGCCTCTACCCCTTATGTGCTCATTGCACGTGATGTGTTTCACTTCACATGGCTAACACAACTTGAGAGGCAGATTCGTGTCATCAGTCAGATACCACATGTTGGAGTCGCTGGTGGATCGTACCGTAACTTCTCTGGTCACTGGAAAGCAGGATGTGTTCAAACTACAATGAAGAACTACGTCTTAAAGTACCAAGAAGGATACTTTCACTCAAAGAATGAGTGTATGTTCTGTGATTATCTACAAGGACCTTTTGTCACCAAAAAAAGTCTTTTTAAATTAGATGAGAAGCTTCCAAATGAAGTTGTGTTTGAAGACTGGTTTTCAAGTATTGTCCAAGAAGGCAGCCTAGTTATGTCATGTCCAGATGCTATGTATTTTACAACAGATTACTGGTCATATTCCAAGAGAAATGATAGAAATGTCTGGACACCTTTGGCTAAAAAGTGGCAACTTAATCGAGTGTTACTACCCGGGGGGATAAAGCATTCTTTTTCCTGTAAAGATATTGGTTTTACATGCAGAGCACACAGTGAATTACTGCCAGTTTGTTGCGGGGAAGCATACGCGGATGCATTGTCTTTTTTTCAGAAATTCACTGATGCCCACAACATTTCACTCGAGCTTAACGCTGGCTCCGCACTAGGTGGTGTTAAAGGTAATGGTCTTCTCCCTTGGGACCTTGACGGAGACATACTTGTATCAGCAAAGGCTATCGAAATCTTCAGCAAGGAAGACACCATCCAATATTTTCGGGAAAATGGTTATACTCTCAGTAATTACGAACCACTGAAATATAATAAGCCAGATATACTTGATGGTTATTCTAAGGTTACTTTCAACTCATTTTATATTGAGGTGTGGGGACTCATGGGCGCCAGCAATGCAAAGAATCTTCCACCAGAGCTAGGTAGACAGCACACAACATTTACGAAAGCAAACATTCATGGAAAGTGGATTTATACACCCTATAGTCCTGGTTTGTATGCTAGAAATCGATACGGAAGAGAAATCTTAAAGCATTCGCAATCGTGGATTAAGCTAGGATTAAAACATAGTTATGTCGAGTATGATCCGGGTAGTTTCAAGCCCTGTGAGAATCCAAGACATCACGGGTGTCTGAGCCGTTTCCCTGGTGATGGTAATATTCCATATTTTGTTCCGTAAAACAGGATACAGTTTTAGCTGTTGCACACCAGCTTGGTTGTTAATTGTAAGTAGCCAGGCTTGTCATAGCGATGTTCTTTTCTTTAATAGAGACTTCTTATTGGAATGTATTAAATGATTCTTAAAGTTACGTAATAACTAGTTTCTGCTTAATTAAATAGAACTGTAACGTACAGTGCCAGTTTGTTACATCCTGTAGTTTGCTCTCGTTTACAATCTAGATTGCATTCTCGGTTACATCCTGAAGCACTGAACTCTGAGACACATGCCCTCTTAATTTAATTTAACATAATTTATATAGCGCTAACTCCACTAACTGACCAAAGCGCTTTACAATTCATAATATTAAAATAATTAAAAAGATCCCGCTGGTAATAAAATATGAATAAATTAAAAACCTATTTGCAGACTTATTTATAAAAATATCACAGTAAATCCTATTCCAAATTATCAAAAAGTTAAACATTATATGCTTTTTTAAAAAGATCAATCTTTAAGTGTTTCTTGAATAAATTAAGTGTATCTAAACTTCTAAGATCTAATGGCAGCTCGTTCCAGAGTTTAGGTGCAGCAAGGGAAAAGGCCCTGTCTCCGTATGTTTTAAGTCTTGACTTCGGAACTGCCAGAAATTTTTGATCAGTATAGCATAGCGTACGTGAACAGGTGCGATAACTAAGTAATTCCGTGATATATAATGGTGCCATACCATTTAGGGCCTTATAAACTAACAATAAAACTTTAAAAAGAATCCGACGGTGAACAGGTAATCAATAACTGAAATAACCAGTAACCGAAAGTGAACAGGTAACCCTCTTGCCCTCTGCTACAGCAGATCCCAAAAACCTCTAAGAACTGCCAGCAAGCGTGGTTTTCTCTTTCGCTAGCGGTTAATAGGAAGCAACCTCCTACAGCCTAAAAACTTATTGTCACACGATCAAGAACTTCTAGAGGCGGATAAGTATGACGTCACTAGATGTCTTAGCTAATGACTGTTAGGGATATCAATATGGTCAGGGATACGTAGTTACGAGTGGGGCTTTCAACCCTCTCTTCCACACACTTCCATACTTATTGGGCCAAGGAAATGGTCAATTTCCGCATACATCAATGTTATCTCAATATTTAGCAAGAGGAGGAAACCCTACTTTTGTTGATATTGAGGTGTGGGGGCTCATGGATGCGAGTAACGCAACTTGAAATGTATTCCACCAATATGAGGACAACAAAGAAGCTCGAAGACAGTATGCAACAGTTTTGTTCTTTGATATCCTTAACTAGGAATCACGTGATTTTTCTCGTGCAATTTGGAAGAAATCAGCCTCTTTAAATTTTTGCAAAGACAACAAATTGTACTGGCTCTTCGGGTTCATTTAGTGTTGTTGTTTCCTTGAAAAAGGAAATACTCGTGCTTATCAATACCAAATTTCACTCGAAAATTTTGTGAATTTGAACGACCCAAAGTAAACGGGAAGAAAAACTACTTGAACGACACAAAGTCCAGCTATTGTGATATGGGATTTATTATCACCGAACTGAAAACTTTTGAACAGAGGTTTACTGCACTGAGAACAAAGTTCAACCAGAAATTATAGAGAACTGCTCTAGTTTTTGATGATTAATACATGTATTATAATGATAACTAATAATAATAATAGGACATTTATTATGCGAAAATTCCATAAACTGTTCAAATACGCATGACAAGATTAAAAAGCGAAATAAAAGGGCTAAAAAGCTAAAATTACAATTAAAAGTAAACTCAATACTAGAAACAACTATGAAAAACAATGTGTGGCGGAAAAGGCGAGCATTAACAAATGGTAAACACCACAGCGTACACTATTGAGTTATGGATGCACGCGGGAGGTTGCTAAGCACGAAAGAAGCGTAAGAGTCGCTCGAGGCGATAGCCTAGTGTAGCTTTAGATTTAAAACGCAGATAACTAAAAGGTTATCACTAGAATTCCTTAGATTGTATTTAGACGAGAGTCTAAGAGAAACGAGAGACGATAAATAAGTAGGCGCTAAAAAAGATGCCATTAAAATTCCCTTTTTTGAGTGCTTAAGAATACATTTTGTGATCTTATAACGCGGACATGTTTTAGGAGCTTTTCGAGTTGATCGAGGCAGAAAGAAAGTAAGAAGTGTATCCGTGCAAACTAAAAGATTGATTTGGGTAGAGTTAGTTATTACCTATGCAACGAATATGCATGAGCGAACTTCGCCGAATCAGTAGTCGTGGAGCAGCGTAACCTTTTATAACAATATCGGTTGCATTTATTTTTCTTTAAGTCGAATCAAAGCAGAGAGGCACCCTTTCACCCTAAATTCAGCCGTAACTACAATTTATTGGAATATCTCGTGTGGTCATGGATCTATGGAGAGTTTTGTAAGCTACCGCTGCCTGCAAAAAAGGTACAAGGGGGCCTGTTGCGAGCAAGACGAATTGTGTATGTGGAGGGGAAGGGAGGATCTTTCTTTGACACGGCCTCGCGAAGAATGTTAATCCTTTCTTTCCGTGTGGTTGTAATGGGATCTTTGCTATCATTTATAAATGCCGCTGTGTTTGTTCATTGGATCATTTTTCCACTGGCATTATGAATTACGCACATTATTCTAAACACACCTCACGGGTAGGGTGAAACCCTTTTTTTTCGTGGTATTCATACATGATCAAGAGGCTAAACTTTCTCACATTTTCTGCTTTTAAAGAAAAACGAGCTATCCACAACAAAGTTTCTCTCCTCAGCCGCCGGGACAAACACTGGAGCGCTCCTCAAACGGAGGGTTGTCACTTTTCCCATCTGTTTGTTTGTGATGTAATAAAACAAAATCAAACATGTTGCTTTAAAAAGAGCGTCCCTTATTCGAGATCTCGAAAGAATGATCAAATATCCGAGGGTCTTCAGAACGGTCGACGATTACTTTCTTTCTTTTTTTTTTGCCATATTTTTATTAATGTTTTCCATATGTACAACGATTTTTAATGGCTCTGGTTTCCTCCTTTTTGGTCACCTTTACTTGTACAATTTTTTTCATCCGTCACGAATCTTTTAAGAACCATCCAATCAAGATATTGCCTACACAACACTACAGCGACAGAAAATGCTCTTTTAACGGGTGGAAACGGCTTTAAACTAATCAGAAAAATTTGTTACCTTGATTGAAAGCAGGTTGAAAGGTTTTGAACGCAACTAGCAAATGCTATATCTTCTAGATCTACAACGCCGGTCGGAATAGTCTAAAAGCAGAGTTTGAGCTATTTACACTTAATATTTTCCTTTCGCTGAAATATTTCTTTTAAAAAATAATCCTAAAATAAAAATGTGGAAAATATGAGTTTTGATTATATTTATCGCTCGTTCGCTTCGCCCACTCGTGAGAGATATTATTGACAAAGACAAATACGTATCTACAAGCAGACATGCAATGTTCTGATTATTATTAGCGTATAGATATTGATGAGATATAAAACAATTTCTGAACAAGAGCACGCTTGCTGAGATAACACTTCAAATTTCTTCATGAAAAGAAAACTAATTCAACTATGTAAATACTCTGCATGACAAGTAAAGCCGCGACGTTACGAATCCCGATAACCTTGACGACAAGGGCATCTTCACAGCGCGCGATGAAAAATATGCTACTGAAACAAAAGAAACTCTAATATTTCCTTAATATCTTTTGAATAAGATTTTTTTTTTCTTTCATTCGATTCAAAGCAATATCCTTCTACGGCCTCTCGTCGATCTTTCCGTGAAAGACTTGAAAGGCAACATTCCTCGAAGTCGGGCGCCACAAGTCAGAGTGATGAAACAAGCATTTCCGAAATTCTGGGTTATTCTAGAGGTGAGACCTTTAGAATACTTGAGAGCTCAGAATAAAGAGCCTGTCTTCCTCGCGCTGAAGAAAAGTAAAAAAAAAAAAAGATTAATACATCGGAATAAAAAAAAGAAACGTCTTCAATAAAATTTTATCGTTTCAATACTTTTGACGCTGGTATAACGAACCAAAAAACAACTGTACTATTTCTTTGTTCAGCGGCCAGGAGGTGGTGGTTTCATGGAAGAAGTTTTGTTATCAAGCTCACTGATAACTAGTACAGTGTGGTCCCAATTTAATCACTTTGGGCCAGTAATTGAGTCTGACTTGGACCAAAGTTTTAGCCATTCAATAGTTCACGAGATTTCCTTATTGGTAGGTTGACTCAAGTTAATGTTCTTTTTCAGTGTTAGCTATAAGCCCTATTAACACTGATCACAACAATTAATGTTTGGATAAAAGGTTTTGGCTAAATTGCTAGGTTCTGTCCCCCATCGCCGGAACTTATCACGATTTCTGTAAGCTAAATGAGCTGGTAGTATCGCTACTCCTGACAGATGGGATGCTTGGTTCATAGCAGGTAAGCTTCTTGTCTTAGTACCGCCAGAATACAAATGACCCGCTCGACATTCCAACCCTTCGACTCCCACAGAAAGAAAACGGAGATTAAGACACACATGTAAATGGTCCCTCTAACACAGTTGAAATGAGAGGTAAACAGAGAAATACCACCAGCAACAAACCTTTATCCATCTCAGAAGTTTGTTTATGGCAACGATAGCGTCTGGTTTTGTGACCAGTGGACTGAAGGCAGCGTACAACTCAAACCCGGATGTTACCTATCAAGAGAAGATGCGTTTTTTTAGCTTGCTTGAGTGGTTGGGAGCTGTTAAAAGTGGTAGCTGTTACTTAACTCCTTAACCAGCATTTACACAGTTAAGGTTTTCTTTGGTAATTGACTAGAGAAATGTGACAATTAAAGAGTACCACTGTCCGAAACTGACATTTTAGTTTTTAATCAAGAACTTGTAAAGGAGAAAGATTGCTAATTGACTACACATTTAGAATTGTCAAGGGCATTACATGAGGTCGAATGAAAATTTTATCATCACAGGTTCTCCCTCAAGAAGTACAGTCGCTCAGGAAAATAATTTGTTTTAAAAGCCCTTCACTATCAACTGATCCACAACCAAAGCTTTGTGGAGGTTATTGCGTTATGATTTTCTTGGTAAAATTGTATTTTTGTTTCTTTATCATATCAGTACATGAGCTTATTCTACCGCAGAAGTTTGTCTACATTCGGCAGTCTACTCAAACCTACAAGTTTTCTTGATGAATGTACGGTAATGATAGAAAATATCTAATCACAAACCAGATCAGCATGTGGCGAAAATCAAGATTCATTGTAAATTCTTGTCTCATTTCACGATTTATCGTGGCTTTATCAAAAAATCGGTGAGATATTTCTAAGCATCTATCTCATCTATGGAATTTGACATGGATACACTGTTTTCGATATATATATATATATATATACATATATATAGGAAGTCTGCGTTTCGATTTTTCCGTGTTACAGTGCTCGATACGTAAAAGTATAGCACAATATATATATATATGGTAGCTTCAATTCAGAGTAATTTGTTTATAATCATAAGGTAACCTTCCTATATTCTTCCAGCCTCGAACTAACGCTAAGAGTTCTCAAACAAGAATCTTCCAGTTACAGTTATCGATACACACCCATCCTAGGAGCATCTCTCGTATGCCCACGTGACATAAAATTTTCAGAGGCCTGGCTGGCGAGTGAATTCGATGATGAAGATAAAGATACAGGCCAAAGAGTCTGAAAACGAATACAAACATTAATTTAAAACACCAGTCTAATAATAGGTTTGTAAGTAGAAGGCAAATAAGATTTGTGGGCAGTCAAGTTATCGTGGAGGCCATGATATTTTGTCAGAGCCGCAAAACTGGGAACTAGTCAGTTGAAATGTGCCAGGCGTTGCCAGAAGTTCGCACGAACCTCAAAGAAAATTCTTAACGTGAAATCGAGTTGCACATCTAAACCTATGACTGGTAAGTCATGCAATCAGTTCTAATCAAAACTGGAAAATGGATGCTGCGCAAATTTCTTCGGTGATATTTCAATAGTTCTATGACTGTTCATCAGCATTTTATGGCAAACTGAGGTGAAAGTAGCCGGCTAAAGATGGCAGCCTAGCCTCTGGTTCTGGTCGACCAAAGGGTCTTACCAACAGCTCTGCTCTCTCTCTCTCTCTCTCTCTCTCTCTAATTCTTCCCCCGCCTCTTCTATTTTCATTTGATTAACTTCCTCAATTCCTAACTCTTCCCCTTCATTATTTCCTCCTGCTTCTCCTGCCTGCCCCCTTCACCTCTATCGTCCTTTCTCCCTTCCTCGCTCTCGTCCTGTTTCTTTCTCCTTCCTATTCTATCCTCTTTCTTCCCCTTCTCTCTGCCTTCCTTCCATCCCTCTACCATCCTGTATTGAACTCTTTGTAGTTCCCTTTTAGCCAAGGCGGGCAAAGTGTGACGCGAACGGGAACCAAGCGACGCCGCGGGGCTGAGGGAGCAAAAGGTCTTTGCAAGCCCGAGGAAACAATAAATATTTCAACCCAGGCTATTCCCCTACCTTCCCTCCCATCTCCACCCCACCTTCCTCCCATCTCCACCCTACCTTCCTCCTATCTCCACACCCCACCTTCCTCCCATCTCCACCCCACCTTCCTCCCATCTCCAGCCCCACCTTCATCTCTCCCTCATACAGTTCTAAGTCTACAAAACCATTTAGTTTCGTTAAAACTTACGAACAAAATACCTTTCTTGTTCTTCGGGTTCAACATAAGGAGCCTCCAGCTCAGGAGAAGTGTACTGCGCCGTACTTTTAGACTTGTAAATAAAATGATATAGCTCCGGGATGCCGACCTGATCTGCAACAGAAGATAAACGAGCACAGACTTAAACGAAAGTAAGAGCATAAAACCTACAACAACAACAACAACCAGCTGAAAAAGAAAAAAGAAAAAAAAGAAAATGAAGCAAACCTGTGCTATAACTCTTTTTTGCCACTGCCTCATTAATAGCCTCTAAACATCTGTACCTCTTCAAGCGCTGAAAGTTTAGAGTTTTAAAACTATGTTAAACCTTAAACCACTGAGAGTGGCCTCTACTTTCTCCATACAGTATCACCCATGGAACAAATGTAAAGGCCATCATCCCCAATTCAAGAAGCTCCTGATAGTCAGACAAAATCTCAATGTGGAGAGAATCAATAGTGTCAAGAAAATGACAGGAAACCCCCATGAGATACGACAACATTCCTGTTCTCCGAAACCACCCAAGATATGGTGGCATTCCTCACGAATCTGGGTCTTGCTCTTATTCACAACAAGAACTGACTGCACGAGGTAAATAACCAATAGATTTAAGAAATGCAGGTCACCTCGACAGTTTTAAGTCTGGTTTCCGCTAACTCAAAGAAGGCGTCACGATCAGTGGAAAGTAATAGTAAACAGGCGGGGCAGTTGTCATCCAGGTAGGAAATGTGCGCATACAGATAGCCACTGAAAACAACGACAAAAAGTATTAAAGAAACATGAAAATCCAGTTGGTTCTGACTTTAAGTATCTTTCGTCCATCTTTGTATCTTGCTCACTGTGGCCGAATTTGACCTTTTTCTCCCCCTAACTTTGACAGCCGTTAAGAAATGTTCTCAAATTAGTATAGTGTTTTCCAATGGAGGGTCGTTAACCAAAAATCACAAAACTAACAAAAGCCAACCCAGAACAAAGACTTGAGTCACAAAGAGTAAATGAAAACAAAGAAACGGCCAGAAGCGCAGAGTACATCTGACTTGTTGAGAGGTTTCTGCAAGCTTTTAAGATCAATCAAAGAGGGAATAAAAGCAAATCCAATGAAACACCCCGGCTCACTAACCACGCTTTGTTGAGTATTGCTCTAGGAAGGACACGTTGTCAAGATACACAATACACTAGCCCTTGTAGTCACTGTTTGAAGCATTCAATTGAATATCGGAAGACTGAAGGGTTTGAATCCCTCTCCTTGTCCAATCCATGCAATCTTATTGACGCATGTTTTATCAATCATCATGTTTGAGATTTACCTGTTATCAAAACGTGGCAAACAAATCGGTGTCCAGGACTCCGCAGTTTGAAAAGACGTTGATGCACTGACAAGGTTGAAGATGAGATGAAGGTCTGCAGGGAACAAAATATCATCAGAGACTGAGGGAGTATAAAACTACCAAGCATTACCTCTTTCTTAGCTTAAACCGTTGCACGACTGTATGTCTCTATTTCTTCTAAGCTAGCTTTTGCTGTTTTTTTTTTTTTATCTTCCCTAAGTAATCGGACGGATAGATTACTGTAATAGTATTTTATATGGTTTACCAACTAGAGAATTATCTAAGCTCTAACGCCTTCAAAATTCGGCAGCAAGGATTATTTTTAATATCCCAATGTGTCACATCACACCAGTTCTACGAGAACTGCATTGGTTACCTGTTCAGTTTAGAATACAGTTCAAATTTATCATGATCACTTTCAAAGTAATTAATGGACATGGTCCAATCTATTTACAAGATCTTATATGTTGCAGCAGGATGGACCATACAACTGAAGATCTAGTAATAAGGGTCTCATGCTGCAAGCACCAAATGCCATAATAAAGAAAACATTAGGTGATCGTACTTATATGTGTAGCACCTAAACTTTGGAACAGTCTTCCTTATAAAGTGCGTAACGAGACTGATTTTAGTAAATTTAAAATTTTACTAAAGACTCACCTTTTTAATTTAGCCTTTAATTAGGACTGAATTGTGCATGGTTTAATAGTTTTTTACAACTTAGATAAGATTTTTATTAGTTTTGTAAATTTGATAAGGGTCTTACTGTAATTTATTATCTGATGTAATTTTTATATTCTATAATTGTTATGCGCATCTGATCATATGTAAATGGTTTGCGCACTACAAATATTAAACTATTATTATTATATTATTAAGCGCACTCTGTATATACGATGCTACATAGGAAAGACGCAAAACTCACCTGAAGGATGCAAACTGTACCTCTTGGGTCTGATTAAAGTAATTAACTGATTCTTAGCTACCAGAATGGCAAATACGAGGTCCTGAGTAGAAATCAGAGACAGCAAGACATTATGGCTTCCATCAGCAACATGTATTGCAGAGTAGACGCCGGATAATAGGCAGCCCTAGACTCAGAACCATTGCTTTGTGGGTCATAGTGTCATATTCTTCTAACTTGGGCCAGATACTCAACCCTTACAAAGATTCTCTCCATCGGGGGGTATACACGGGCGCCAGAAAACGATCGTCAAAGGACCTGTGATACCCCAACCCTCCCACCCGTGGTAAGTCTCCCTATCCATAAGCCCACTCAATATCCTTCTGAACTGTATACAAAGAGGGTTGATAACTTGGCTTTTACGGTACCAAAACGACACCCCCAACTATGAATGTGTGTCAATGGAGGCTTCTCAATTGCGTCTAACACCAAATACAGACTAATCCGAAGCAGCCAACAAACAAGTTCAGAGCAAAAGGAAAAACGTCACCAGATGACAGAAACATCAGATCAGAAGAAATCTAACGGCCTGAAACGCAGAAAAACCTGAGTGACTACGTTGCGATAGGTTTTAGTGCAGTTTCTACTTGAATTTCAATATACCAAAACGAAGGGAATCATCAGAAAAAACAAGGGATCAAATCATGATTGCTCTTAGTTTTAAATCTGATTGGCTGAGAGCGTGGCGCAAGTTTTTCTGGGCCAATCACAGAGCAAATTATGGCAACATCAAAAAAACATGGATTTCTTTCAACTCTCAATTGAAACTACTCTAGTTTATCATGTGATTACTTAAGAGGATGGGGTGTGTTTTCTAAGCTTACTACCGAACGTTCTAAAGCAAAGTCAAAGCAATGCCGGGTGACCCTCTGATTGAATCGTTTAAAAATTGCTCTATTCAGGTGACTATCATTGTTGTTAGTACCTTGACTCTTGCTTGAAGCATACTTTGACCAATGGTTTCCCTGACCGAACTTGAAAGAGGTAAGCACCTTACCTGAAAACCACAGCAACCAAAAGTTATATGCAAGAACCTCGAGTGGGCAGGTTTTACACAAGTTTTTGTGGGCAAAATTTTTCCACTTGTTCCTATCTTAAATTTCAATACTAACAGAAACCTTCTTCATCGATGCATGATATGATAACATGGATACAGTACAGATATTAACACACAGTATGTGGGATAAAATCCATACTAAAAAGCAAAAACACAACTAAGGATGATTGAAACTGTCTAAATTCTACTGAAAATGAATTTTCATAAACAAAGCTGTGCACAAAATAAAAATGGCAGGTCAATATTTCACTCAGTAACCAAGAATTTTTTCGTTTACTGAATAAAACAAGACTCCAAACTTCTTTAATTTTTTCCATACTCTATTTTCCATTCTTTCTCTGGAAAATTTGCAGATTCCATACTTAGCAAAAAATTCCAAACTTCATAAAAATCCTGCACCGATTACAAAAAAACTCTGTCAAGGTATATAATTAAGACTGGAGAAGTGTGTTCTCCATTGAGCTACAGTCTATAACCTACTCCAACAACAGCTTCAAAGATGTGAATCATAGTTCTAAAATTAAATTGATCAGTCCAATATTAAGATGGTACTGTTTACTACATCATACTTACTGAGCCTAGCAGGAAGCTTGGTTCATGATCCATTAAATTCAATAAATTATCTATAAATTTCTCTGTCCCTGTAGAAGTAGTTTATAGTAGGTAGATTAAAATGAGATTTGGAATTAATCAATTGTCTCTGTCAGGTTATCAACACTTGCAAATAACACTTTGATGATGTTTCACAATTTGTGACATATCGCACAGTTTTGTGAATGAGTTTGTGGAAACTGATAAGAAAGCGCAATTTTCTTGGTCAAAATAATCTCAGAAATCTTTGGACATAGTAATCTCAGCACTAAAGCTGGAAATGGCAAGCAACTAAAAAAATCTGATTTCAGGTGAATTTTCAAGGAGTTTCTGGTACGCAAGTTTGATTAAGAAAGTAAACCTTTTGTAATATGCCTTTCATCTTCAGTACTGGTGGCAGATCTAGGGCTGGGGCCAAAGGGGCCCAGGCCTCCCCCCCTATTTTGGGTTAAAAAAAAAGTCACAGAAGGAAGAAAAGCTGGCCATGGAAAAACACACAAAAAACCACCCCTCCACTCAGGCCCCACCACCTTATTTTGGGTTAAAAAAATTGCAGAAGGAAGAGAAGCTGGCAAGTGTGCACACACAAAAAACCACCCCTCCCCCTTATTTTGAGTAAAAATAAATTGCAGAAGGAAGAAAAGCTGGCAGGTGTACACACACAAAAAAAACTGCCCCTCAACCCCCTTAGCTCAATGTTTGGATCCACCACTGAGTACAAAATGCTGTATTTGTACGTGAACTCGTACACCTGTCATATCTTACCAGCCAGTAGTCTTCTGAGATCATAATTTCTCCTCTGTTCCATAATTCTCGCCAATTGAGTATAAGTTAAAACACTAAGGATTTGATTATAAACATAGGAGAGCTGCAGCACCAACTAGGAAAAAGAGAACTGACATCAAAAGTCATCCATATTTACATTCAGTCAGTGGGTCTGGGGCAAGGGAAAAATTACAGCTATTTTAGAGTGACTGTTTGTATTTGTGGTACCAGACCTGGAGGACATAAAAATATGTTAGGAAAATTAACAGTCAATCTATACAATTAAATAACAACCAAAAATCCTACTTCTGGCCATGGTGCTTAACAGCAGAAAGGTTCAATCAGAAAAGGACTCAGGTAGGTGCAATAGTTTAAATGAATTTCAGGTCCAAACTGGTTTGGTATCACTACAAATAACATCACTCTAACCTACAACATTCAGTGTATTTGCTCAATACATTTTAACGATAACAGTAAAAAAAGAATAAATAATATTAATGATGAAGCACAAAAAATAATATCAAACCCACTTTAGGTCATTTCTTTTAAAGAATACATCACAAATTTGCTGAAATAATTCTTTAAAAAAACAAATGTGATACCTGAGTGACAGACTCCGGTGTGTAAGCCACAGCCACTAAAATTACATGTCCTCTAACTAAGAATACAAATTTATGGTTGCCTGCCATAATACACCTAGAATAATAACAAATACCGGTAAATATTAAATGCATCATCAGATATAAGATAAATTTTAGCAAACAAACAAATCTACAGTGGGTTAGCATGGTTTGTACTCTTTTCAATAACAATATTAGTGATTACATTGGTTGAAATTTGTTGCAGATGAACTCGGTTGAACCTCAGGAATCAGATTGCAACATTACTGCCAAATGTAGTAAAAATATATTTATATGGTGTAGATCTGTATGAAGTCAGTTGGATTTTTTGCCAATGATCGCTTGGTTTAGCACAACAGGCAATTCTGGGATTACACACTGACAATTGTTCACCACTTTTGAGCCTCCTCACTTGGAATTTCAGCCAGCAGTGTAAATAATTAGCCACAACCCTTGGTGTTTCATCTGGTAAAAAAAAAACTGAGAGATCATCACCTCTCCCTCTCACCTTATTGTGTTTTTTCCATCCTGGACAAAAGAAACTAAGGCTTGCATAACACCCATCAGGGTAGCCAGTTTATCCTCATTTCCATACCTGAATTTATCAAACAAGTTTAGTCACAATGACTGACAGTAATAACATGTAAAGGTACATATAAATCCCTTACTGAACTTAGGTAAAAGTTAAATGGAAACCTGGCTAATGGATCACATTCAGAGTTTCAAATGGATCAACTATTCTGTATCTAAAGCCATCTGAAGACATGTACTAGTTACAAAGAAATGTTCCCAACTGTGCATGGAGTGCAATCATTTGTACTTTATAAAACTCAGACATGACTTTATCTTATCATAAATTTACAGAGTAGCTAAGTATCTAAGACTCTTCTCTTTAAATAAATGGAAAATAAAAAATTATGAATAATCATATTGTTTAAAAATCCCAACTGGCAGGATGCAGACCAGTTAGGTAAGCACAGCCAAGCATAGTCAAGGAGTGGAACCTCAAGCCAACCAAGATCAAATCCAGTCAGCAACAGGGTGGAGTGCTTGAACTTGGGACCACCAGATTACAAGACAGGGGCTCTAACTACTCGTCCACACTGCCTTCTTCCCAGGACACTACCTGCTTCCTACAACACTGCCTCCTTAGTTTCTGCCACACTGACCCCTTAGTTTCTGCCACACTGCCCCCTTCCCACCACACTACCTCCTTCAACAGATGTTGTGGTTGGGTTCGGGTTTGTATCTCCTCTCATTTGAACAGTATGCAAAGAAAAGTGCCTGGTGGCGGATGCTATTAGAGTTGCAGTGGATAGCTGCATGTCCTATTCAGACCACCACTATTTCAGCTGGAAGCATTTTCTTAAGCACTTTCCAAAGCCTCGATTATAAATCGGTACCTTTTTAATGTATTACTTTCACTTAAATTAATGAAACAAAGCTCTCACATGAGAAGCTAAATGAAAAATGATTATAATACCAGTACTAAGAAAATTTCACCTTGAGTAAATTGGTTTTCCAGCCTCACTGAAAGCAAATACATGCTTTTTGTGTAAAGTCCACTGAGGGTTGTTAACATCTTCAATATCGAAAACAATTTGTTTAGCACTTCAGTCATTTACAAACCACCTAGTGTTTCAAGTTATACTGTCGAAAACATGATGCAATCTTAAAAGCATAGCCATTCATTGTGTTTAATTTTTGCTGAGCAAATTTATTAATAGAACTAAGAATCCACAAGCACTAAACTAACCTTCCACTGATGCTTCTCTTCCAATTTCTTGGACACTGGCAGCTCTTGTTTTTCGAGCCTCTGCAAAAATATAAAATGACTTTAGGAAAAAAAAAAAACAAGACAAACCAATGAGATTATTAAAGATCATGAACAGGATAAAACTCGTAATTAGAAGAACAACAACTGTAATAAAGTCACATATGCTCTGCATGATATTTGTTATCAAAATAAGATTTATTTTAGCAGGTAAATTTGTTAATTTGTGCCAGTTAATTATTAATTCAGCACTGGGAGATTTTGCAAGGGTTTATATGCAATTGGACATTAATTGAGATAGAAAAATTGCATCATCACTGACACATAATGCAAGAACCTTAAGGGACAACACAGTTGATTTCTTTTACCTTCTTGTTCATCTTGAACACTTAACAAAGCAATTTTCTCGTCAATTGGACTTGCAGCCTCGCTTGGCATATCTGCTTGAGCTGGCAAAAAGGTCTCATTGAAGTTTTCATCTTCATCAATAACATCAATTTTTGGGGAACTGCTGTTTGCTGCCTCAGGTGATCCGTGACTACTAAGACTGGAGATGTGCCCTGAAGTTAGACTGGTATCAGAGTGGGCAGATGTTCTGGATTCAGGATCTGTACAGATTTCATCCACAGAAACATCAAGTTCCTCATCGGGTTGGACACAGAAGAGTGGTTCATAGCCTACTGAGCTACAAAATAAAGCAAAGATCAAATAAGAAATGTATACAATGCAAGACAACATAGTGGAATCACCGCTAATGAGGTCGCCACATTTTGGAAGAGCAAACCAAGCTTGTTCCCGAGACTCAAAGTTAGTTTCACTTCCTCTCTCTCCTAAAGGATGAGCAATACGATTTTAAAAAAGGTAATACCAGCAGGCTTAAAGCTAACCTTAAGCTCACTATGAAAAATATTCGTTAATTTTACGCAAATTAATATTTTTTCTGATAAGGGTTACAGTTTAAACAAAATAAATGAATTAGCTCCTGAATAAGTCATAATCGCACATACCGAGCTAATCGTATCTTCATATCAAATCCGCACAAAATAGAGTCCGTGTATTGACGAACATAAACGAATCTTACCCAGCTCCAGGCTCAGTACCCTGGAGTATATCCTGCTCTTGTTCTTCACACTCCACACCAGCGTTTGGATCAATCGCTGCTGCCATCTAGCATTCAGAATTGTCATTGTACCTATGGTCAAAAAATCTCCATTCGTTCCGCCATGTTTACCGCCATGAAAGCGAGGCGGAGCTGTGCAGCCAAGCTTCGTACTTCTAACAACGGTTACCTAGCTCTCCACCCTCATCCAACAACTTCTGACACTCCCGAGGAAGATCGATAAAAATTAAAGAATTTCCGTGAAGTAATGACTTCCTGAATCATCATCATCAGGCCTGGTTTCGAATGGGACTCATACCAGACAGGGCAGAGAGAAAAGGAAGGGAAGGGTGGAAATTTGGAACAGGTTCACCACAAGTTCACCACCTTTGATCATGGGGTACCCTATCATATGCCTTCCATAGAAAATACAATCCTTTTATATGCCGATCATGGCAAAATAGATAATTTGGCTTAAAAAACGAGAAAGGAGCCTAAACTTAAATACACTGCAGGAAACCGAAGGAGATACATTCACAAATTTGCCTGCTTCAACGAAACACGGGGGAATTTATTCGATTTCAGGCGGATCTTTTCTTTAGTGAGTTTCGTCGCTCATTGCAGCCGGCAGTGTCATAACTGAAGAAATTACCAGAATATTCTTGGGTTCGCTTAGCCAGTGGGGAGCACACACAAACAATTATCTAGCTAGGAATTTGACATAGCTGACAATCGACCATTTAGACTTATCATCATCAGAGCTTCTCTCATCTGTATGCGTATGGCCTGAAATCAGAGTTGGCACTGATTTTTCTACAATTCTGCGGAGCGGAGGTGGGAGCGACGCGTAAGAAACACTGAGTTACGCCTGTTCTTCTGATTAAATATTCTCAACCTGATTAACTCATTACTTAAATGCCGTTTTACACAATGGAGTCCCTAAGCAGCGTCTTTAAGACGCTTCATTTAATGAATGATTGCAGACTCGTTAGCTCCAGAAGTAAACATAGTTTGGTTCCATCAACTGACTTGATGATGTAAAATGACCACCAAAAAAAAGTTTCTAAAGCAAACGTTTCGAACGTTAGCCGTTCGTCAGAGCGAAGGACGAAGGGCTTCGATTTGACAAAGGACTAACGCTTTTAAAAAACGTCAGCTTTGTAAAGTCTCTACGGTGGCCAATTTACATTATCACAGTTAGTCGACAAAACCAGCTTATCTTGGAACACCCACTCCCCACCAACGCGGCACCGCAGTGGCTCTCGGGACACTTACCTCCTTTATTGATAAGAAAGAACATTTGTTTGACGTCAATGGCGAAAGTCACGAACCGTCGAAAAATTAAACGAATAGAAGCTCACAGTTTGCTGTGCTGACCTGATCTAGTAGGCTAATGCTTGAAAATAATTTATATCTGAAAAATTCATTCATAAGAATCTCTTACGCCATATTACCTGCAGCTGCACTATTTAGCTGAGCTTGGATACTAGGCTAAAGAAAGTATAAGAATGAAGAATACTTCAAATTTCAGTGTTATTGTTCGATTTTATCATTGACAGAATACACAATTTAAATTCCTTATCATCTGCTTTTTTGATTATGGGCTTTAAAATTTTAGATATTACAGACCTAGCGATATGGCATTCATGTAAACAACTTCTGTGCTGTCAGACTGAACGGTGCCACGTTGAACCGTCTTTCACAAGGGAAAAGATAATATAGACAAAAAATAATACATACTCTGCAGTATTTCTTTTCTTATCGGTGAAAATAATTAACTTAAACCCTTAAACCCTCCGGCTTCTCTATAAATTACTGCCTCAGCAAGGTCGCATTCAAGAACAGTCAAAGAAATCTGCTGCAGGAAAACCGAAGGTGATTTATTCACAAATTTGCCTTCTTCGACGAAACACACGCTTAGGGGAATTGATATGATTTTAGGCGGACCGCTCGTAAAATAAAAAGGAAAAAACGGTGCAAAGGAAACAGAATAATGAATTTTTCGATGTCTCATCAAACATTTTCAAATTACCTTTTTTCACCGTTAAACTGCGTTAGAAACAGAACTCATCCACACTCTCAGTTATGTTCTTTTGTGTTTAATTTTGGGATAGTGGACTGATGAGTAATTTTGTTAATAATAAAAAAAAGAAAACGTTGAAGGGGACTAAGACGGGCGACACGTCTTTATTCGACCGTTCCAGTTTTAAAGCTAGAAATAAAAAGTGTTGGAAGGGTATAATTAAAAACCAATACTTAAGGTTTAAATAAGGTGTTGAGAAACTAAACAAACTGTGTTGCGTACTGCATAGAGTTCGAAGGGTAATTCTGCGTCATAGAAGTGAGCGAATGGAAAATGAATAATGTTTGTCTTTAAACCAGCAGGTGTCTCATTCATATTATTTGCGTCAGACTGAGCTTCTCTGAGTATAGACCAGATAACTCATACAATGACCGTTCTTCGAAAACGAATTTTCATGCGTTAGGTACCGAAAATGATAGATGGAACGGCATCATCGGTTTTGTTGGGCGCAATCATTCTGACGTAGTAAACCGTCATAACTCACACGATCTTTGCATTAAACATTCAAAAGGCAATAATCTTTATTTTTAGACTGCCCATCAGGTGTTTTTTTTTTCTTTCTTATTTCATAATACGATGTGACATCCTTCGAATGACGTTCCTACCGAGCAAAAATTAATCTACGTATTTTGCCTTTCACTTAATCTAGGTTTGAACCTGTCTAATGAAAGCTTTGTTGATATTCCATCAGATCTATCCGACAGAAGCTACGATGTAAAGACGTAGCGTTTCTTGTTTTCCCAATACCTCAGCCCTGTGGTGCATGAGTGAATTAAATCAGTGAACAAGAAATGGGATACCATTAGCGTACGCTTTCCCCGCCCGCTACACGACACAATAATTTTTCGGCTTGCAAACGCAAATCCTTATGGACATTAGCTTTACCTTTGAAATTATCTGAAAAAATGAGCGAATTCATAGCCTAAACTTAAGCACCAAAAATAAGTCGTATGGTTTTTTTTTTTTTTTCACCAGAGAATGGAAATCGAAACACCAGATGCAAAATGTAAGCGTATCAAACAAATTGAATTCAAAAGGTTCACGGAACTTCAAGTTTATCTGGACAAAATTTCATATTCTTAAATTTGTCAGTCTTAATTTGCATAATTTCTCTTTATTTCTCACACCATCGGTCTGAACAAATATTACCGAAAAAGGAATCGATAGACTATAGATGAACGTCTTAGAAATTAAAACAACAATCATTGTTTATTCCGCAATTCAGACTTACCCAATTTGATGCCCTTGGCCTATCGGTGAAATAGAAAGAATACTTGTAGGGATTTTAAGAGCATTTTGACCATTTAGGTTTAAAAAAAACAGTCTTTCGTGACCACTGGGTATTACTCTCACAGGAACTTGCTAATATTAAACCATCTATAATGATGCGAGCTGTTTAACACACGGTTATTGTTGCAGAAACCATTTGACAACAGTTCCGGCCTAGGGTGAAAGTGAAAGTGAAAGAAGATATGCCACTGTTCTGTGTGGGGAGGAAACAGGAGATTAAAAAACACTCTTTAGATATCTCATTCTGATCCATTCCTTTCCTCTCTTTCGTTCTCAAATTGTATATATGACTTGAACTACGTGATGTTAAACAAATTCGAGAAATGTTGATTTTAATTTAACTGCGTTGGTTGATTGGGATCACTTAAAATTCAAATTATCGCACGGAAGAATAAATAAATAGTTAGGTTTTCTCCAGCGGTCGAATAATCAGGTTCAAAAAGCGGGTGTGTTTACTTAGTATAACAGAAAAGTATCAAATTTGGCTGCAGAAAGGAAAAAACAAGTGTACAACGAAGTGGAAGTTACAGAAGCAAATCGTTCGGAAGCCTTGATGGAAAAAGTCGGTGAAATTTTGAATGATACAAAAAATCACGTTCTTGACAATAACTCGAGTTTAAAAAATATCACATTACCGAGTACCTATCCTGAAGATTCTTTCTTACCGGCAATTTTTAAATGCCTGGCTTACAGCTTAGTCGTTGCTTTTTCTGTAATTGGTAACTGTCTGGTCATAGCCGCTTTCAAGCTCAATGTCAACAGAAAACTTCGCACTGTTAATAATATCTTCATTGTAAGCATGGCTGTCGGAGACTTGCTCCTCACAGTGACAAGCACACCAGAGCGAATCACAAGAATTCTGGCTGATGAGCGGTGGATAATCGAAGGAAACTGGGGAGTATTCCTATGCAAAACTAGCAATTACTTGGAAAAGCTTTTCATGAATGTTTCAGTGATACATCTGGCGATGATTGCAATAGATCGCTTTCTGGTGGTGTTCATTCCCCACAAGAAGATCATCACAGTGAAAAGAGCTCGTGTTATCATTGCCATCGCTTGGTTCGGATCCGCTCTTTATTGTGTGCCTTTGTTTTATTACGCCAACTTGATGAACAAACACGGAAAACTTTACTGTAAAACGCGACAGTTTTTCAAATACTGGAAAGTTTGGTATTTGTTCTTCCTGTCACTGATTGTACTAACTCTGTTGCTTGTAGTATCGTTGTACGCTGCAATAATAATTCGACTTTGGTGTGGGAAAACGACCGAGATCGTGCAAACTCCTTTAAAACGACGTGTAAGCGCGCGAGTTAACAGCCGTGTTTTAAAAATGGTGGCCATGATAGTCATTGCCTTTTATTGCTGTATTCTTCCTTACTGGGTCGGTTGGGTGTTTTGCTCCTACCATCGCAGTGAGTTCATTTGTAATGATACCTATGTATTTATTGCAATTTTCCTCATGTACGCGAATAGCGCGGTCAATCCAGTCATTTATGCCTTTTTCAATGATACCTTCAGAGTTGGTTTTCGATTTATCCTGAAGACGCCCGGTAGATGTTGTTTTAGTTTTAAAAACTTGAGTATTGATACAGCACAAGATGAATTCATTGAAAGAAACCGGAGCAGTAGAAAATCCAGCGAAATCCCATGCCAAGAACTAAAACAACTTAATTCAAAAAAACACCTTGGTACATATGTGTAGGGCCGACTTAAGAAGTCTTCATATTCTGTAACAATAGAAGGAAGTTGTAAAGATATTTATTAATTTACCTAAGGGAGAAAATGTATTCATGTTCATGATTATTTAAAAGTACGACATGGGTTCTGAAAGAGCGCTCAGAAAAAGCCAAAATTTTGTCTGTATTCCCTAATTCTGGGTTCAAATGATTAAATAAAGCCGAATATCAGTTTTGAAAATCTAAAATGGCTGGAAAATGTTATCATGCAACATTGCGTGATATCAGTGTACCGACGGAGATGACTTAACAATATCTTCAAGGGAGGAAAAGAGTGTCGTGCTGAAAATTATGGTCGGAAGACACTTGTACCGACGTTCCAAATAATAATAATTTAATTGTTTTGAGTCATCCTCTTTAGATCGATAGGGGGTTCATCATATCTTGGTTCTCATTGTTTGCAAAGCTCTCTTTTTGAGAAGCCAAAGTGTTTGCTATATAGGAAGCAAGGTTGGGAAGAAGAGAAAATCAGAATGAATTTGAAAATTTGTCCTCCTAGGCTGTAAGGTCTGATTATTTAACTGACAACGTGTAGCCGTTTTAACATAAAACCGCGTCCAAAACAATTCTCAATTTAGCTGAACCTTTTATCAGAACATTTATTTTTGTGAACAGTGTCAAGAGGGCCGAAAGCTAACAATGGCGGGACATCTGTTTGAATCAATCAGCCTTTTTACAGAGAAAGACGTGGTTTGGGTTAGAATTCATATGAACAACCGGCCTAGAAGTGCAATCTGATCCAAGCTTAGATACATCTATAATGGAAGTTCGAGAGGAGGTGTTGGCAAACATGGCTTTCACTTAGCTAACTTTGGTGACACAACAAATACCTTTCGCAAAAGCCGGCTCACTTTTTTTTTTCTAACTACGCAATCGAAATCTGAAACGATTAAGTGATATACCGCTGACGCTCTCGCCAGGAAAATCTTCAGTCTATAATTGGCATCACACTCAGAATCGAAGTGTGCGCAAGCGCACGATTCAACAACTCTTACCTCACTCTCACCCAAAAGGCTCTCTTCTCTTAACGAGTATTGATTAGAATATATTATAAAGCCAGGAATTAACATTTACTTTAATATGAATAAAGGCTGATAGTTTCGAAAGAAACTGTTTGGGGCTGCGTCGGTGGGGGTAACGAACTAATTTGGATATATCAACAGAGTTGAAATGGTAAATGG